TAGAGCAGCAATGCTTCGCCGCTACAGACCTGACAACTGGCTCAGTACCTACGACGAAATGAAGAAATTCTACTTGGACATGCGACGGTGCACACACACCAGGATTCCCCCACGGGAGGAAAGGCCTGATTCCGGGATGCCTGCAACGTTCATCGCCAAGACCGGTGGCGAAGAACAGTGCTTCACAGTCCTTCCGATGTGAGATCTTATTTACATATAACCGTGGGTTGCAATCCGGACATACAACCGTGGGGTTGCAGTCCGGATTTTCAACTCCTGATTGAAGATATGCCATTCTCGGCAATGCGGAAAGGTTTCAGAGGCGTACGTCACCTGGCTATAGACTTTGATCCTTCATGGACTGCTGAGGGACTACGAGCGTCCGAAAGCTTTGCTGAAGGTGACGAGCTCGAGGGAGAAGAATGAGCGAGACCTCCGACACTGGGTGATGTATGGGGCTTTATTGAACGCTGTGACGGATGTTGAACATCTCGGAAAAACAATAATGTGGCTTGTAGAGCATCGTCTTCGTCGTCGGAATCCTCCAGTGCTTCAAAAGTGGCAGCACGAACGTCTCTCGACTTATCCAGATTACGATCAACCCGTCTTTCATTCGACTGCGTGTACGTACTCCGCCGTTTCTGAAATATTCCATGACTCCTTCTGGGCCTACAATCAGCAAGTTGAAAATTGTGTTTGGGCATTTCTCGTGGAATTAGAGAGGGTTGGTAAGCGGCGGGTGGCCCTTCAGGAGGGGATCGGTGAAGACGAGGTTGTCTTACAAACATGCAGAGTTCTTGCTTGCGAGCAGGACCAATGAAATACCCAGAGTCAGCAGGTTTTATGAAGCTTTAACTGTATTTACTGGGTCGGCATGCTGTATGACACAGGCGATACGAATAACACAGAACTTTGCTTCAGTACCATTTCTCACATTCATCTAAGCCTTTACACCCTTGGTATCCGCTCCATTATTGTTCTCCTCATCCTTGGTGTCCAGTACTTCTTTTCCGTTGACTACTGGAGTCACCAGAAGATGCGCCGGGAACATTCTGTCCCCAGGAAAGAACCCCTCTGTGTGGCGCAAGAACTCCCATGTCTTAGGCTGATCGTCCCGCTGCGGAGGGTAAACCCTGACTGGCCATATTTGGCAACTGATATAGTATAGAACGCCCGCCGTGACAGTTGATAGGAGAAAGCCCATGTTGTAGATGCGGACGGCCGCGAGTCCGATTGAACCAGGGTGGAGGTTTCCAGACACCCCTGGCAAGACCAGAAGAACGGCCGCCGCCCATGATCCAAAGGCGCGTAAGTTGAATCCCTTGAAGTAAAAGTAAGGAGAGTCGGAGCTCGTTGAGTACAACGATGGGACGTGGATGTTGCCGTTGCGGATGAGCCAGTAGTCGACACTGAACACGTACATGTCAGATAACTCAAATTGTCAAGGCTCAGCGGAAGAAACAAAGAATCGGGGTACACTTACATCATACATGCTACGATAGGGCAAATGAAGCAAAGATATGAGCCTAAGAAAGTGAGGAACGACGCGGCGGAGTAAGTGAGCTTCCACGGGACTGTGGAGTAAGTTAGCCATCCACTTCAGAATCCTCCTTGTATCTTTGGCATAGTATTAAGCTTACCACAAACCCAAACCAGAACGAAGCAAAGGATCTGGCCGCGGACGATGGTGAAGTACTTGGGGAACATTCCCGCAAGATCGCTTCCAACAGGAATTGAGTTACTACTCAGGTTGGTGGCGAATGTTGCAAAAGCCTAGAAGAACATTCAACGAGTGACCATTTCCGGCTTCAATCAGAAGCCCTTACCTGTATACCAGCGGCTAGGAAAACCAAAGTTCTAGCCCCTGGACCCCAATACTTGTCAAGTACGCTGGAGTAGAAGTCCCACAGATTCCAGTATGCCTAGGAAGTAATTAATAAATCAACAACCAATTCTGAAGAGAGTCTCGCTGTGTGACCCACTTCTCCGAATTGCTTGTAGCCCGCGGCCGTGATGACCATGCCCATGAAGGTGACTAGTGGCTTGCTAATCACCAGACCTATAGGCATGGGGATTGTCTGACTCGGCCGGCTCCCATAGCGAGAGAGGTCAGCAATGTTGACCAGTGGTGGTATCACATTAGACACAATCGTGTTGAGGGCTTTCATGAAGGACCATCCAAGAGCTGCCCCTGTTGCAGCTTCCGTGGTGCTAAGGCCCTGAAAATCAGCTCCGTGGCTAGAGATCTAAATAATGTGAGCGTTTAAGGCGTCTCGCGCAACGGGCTTTACTCACCAATGCCCATATCATAGTCGCTATCAAGCCAATTGGGGCAAGGACTGATTTAATCCTAAAGACGATGTTGATCTTGCTCGGATGGACAAAAGCAAACGGAAGTTGTAGCAACCACAATATCCCGAAGGCTAGGAGATTCGACGATGTGATCCCGGCCGTTGCTGGTAGATCTGGTACACGATGAGAACAGGCCGCTGTAAGTATATCAATAGGGAAACCTACGGTTAGGAATGTCCGTCCACCTGTGTCCGAACAGACAGCGGAGCATTACAGCCATGAACTGGCTAGCATACAAAGTCTGAATGGCGGTGTAAAGAACAGCCACGATCTAGTTTACGCCATCAGTTACTGTCGTGATGAACCCAGGTATTGTGATATCTCACCCCTCGAATGCCAATGTACGCAAGAGAACCATAGATTCCTGCTGAAGACCGAACAATCGTAGGAAACCCTACATGATACCTGTGGTGTTCATTAAGTGATCTAAGCATCCATAGAAGTGGGCTCGAAGTTCTCACCAGGTTGCCCCTCGAGAGTTCAAGTACAGCAGAACAGCAACCATGACAGAGACGATGACTAGAAAGAATCCACGCGTTAGAGCCGACGATAACACATGGATTGCTTGAGGTCTTTAGATAGTAAATTACTGGATGCAATCAAAATCGTCCACCAATTGAGGCCAATGGCGTACAGACTGGCACCGACATTGTAGGTGGTAGGCGAAAATGCGATGCTGAACTGAAAGGCAAAGAACGACCACGAGTTCCAAGTCCGCTGTTCGGGGGTTGTTGGATCAAGGTCCTTGTTCGACCAGCGGCCGAACTTGCCTTCCGTGGATTCTGGTTTGGAGTTGTTGAGTTGGATTGCTTCTCTGAATTCCCGGGGCGAACTTGGGATTCGATCTGCGATGCTGGCTAGATTACGAAATTCCATTGTAAAAAAAAGGTTGATTGCGATGATTGTCTAATAATTTCTCACTGCCGACCAACATGCACAGAGTATAAGTCGTTGCTCAAGAAAGTGGCCAAATCGGATGTGATTGTCAACACTTTTGCTGTCTGGGCGGATAGTGATAACAGGACAATAGCAGTAAGCACGAATATGACGACGCGGATGACGACGATGATAAGATAACGATGGTAACGACGGTAATAACGACAACAATGATAATAGGGATAATTATCAGGGGATCGTCTTTAAATGTAGCTTATAGGTAGTGGTCCGCCCAGTTAGCTGGAAGTGTTCGCCCGGTAGCAATGCTCATTCGGAAGGTGCCAATCGATCATTTTATCAAGATAAGCGGGATCGCCCACGTGCGGTTTACAGGTACAGCTTATGTGGTGTTCATCAGCGGCTCTTCATGCCAAGGAGTAATGTGCGGCGGGGATGAAATCAAGATCCACTCATAATTCCTCCTGGAGATAGGCTGGGTTCGGCTGATAAGAGTAACCCAGCGCGGGCGATAGGCCTCCTTCATCGGAGTCAAATCGGGAGTCGTATCAACGGATAGGATGGGGCCGACTCGGTCTTGATGCGGGGAGGATCGGCCAACTCAGCCGATGTCTTGAGTGGGTGACGGTGAGACTTCATCCGAACCACTGTTCATTTTTGCAACAAGGCCACGATTTTTTTCTTTCTCTTGAGCCCGTGGGGCTACACTCAATTCGAATCGAGCTACTCCAGAACAAATTATCATTTATTTCCTCCCAGCAGTAGGAGAGTTTCCACCGTCACCATTTACCATCATGCCTCGAAAGGTCCGCCTTGGGATTCTGACTCCCTCATCCAACACGAGTCTCGAACCACTCTCGCAGGCCATCATCTCATCTCTGCCAAATGTGTCGGTTCATTTCTCTCGGTTCCGAGTTCTCAAGATTAGCCTCGACAGAGATGGATTGAATCAATTTCAGAACGAGAACATTGTTGCGGCTGCACAACTCCTCGCCGATGCCGAAGTCGACGTCATCGGCTGGAGCGGAACATCGTCTGGTTGGCTAGGGTTTGAGGCAGACGAGAAGTTATGCGTCGATATTACAGCAGCCACAGGAATCCCAGCCACCACGTCTGTACTAGCATTGAACAAGGCGGCCCAGGAGTTTGGCGTCAAGGAACTCGGCCTCGTTACTCCTTACACGGATGATGTGCAAGAAGCCATTATTCGAATATACTCCACCATTGGTATCGATTGTGCTAAAGAAAGTCATTTGCGAATCTTCAAGAATTCTACTTTTGCGGCGGTGGATGAACCCACGCTGGACGGCATGGTTGGCGAGGTTGCGGGAAAGGGTGTCCAGGCGATTACGACCTTCTGCACGAATCTGAGGGCAGCCCAGCGCGTAGCGTACTGGGAAAAGGAGTATAATGTCCCTGTATTTGATACGGTGGCGACCGTCATTTGGGAGATGTTGAGGATGTGTGAGGTTGAAATGTCGCCTCTGCAGGGCTGGGGTATGTTGTTCACAAAGCCATGAGATCAACTGATGATCAACTACGAAGGCTTCTTTCGTATCTCATTTTGCTTGAACGATAATGTTTCTATATGCATCCTCGTGTTATGATTCGGTGTCGATGCACTCCACTCATTACATCTGAAGCACGTGAGACTTTCCGAATGGCATGAGGTCTGCCTTTCCGCCAAAATGTTAAGGTTGTGCCTGAACATACCTCCCAGATGCTATTTGGGACCGTCTCAAAGTCGCAGTAGCTTACTTATTTGATGCGGTGTGTGCGCGTGCCAACTCCAGCGCCTCCAATACCAACGCCTTCATATCTGAGGTGATTGGAATCTCGTCAAGATGGTCGCAGCTCGCCCAGATTCCGCAAGAATGTTCCTCTTTGTTGACTCGAAAGTTGTTCTCTGCGACTTTCACGACATAGCTCAATTGCACGGCACGACATCTGACAATTGTTCCTTGATCCGTCGGGCTCTTCTCCAGCTTCTCGGTGGTGTAAGTTATGCGAGATAGCGGCGATATGACCTCTACCACGGCCAATTGTGTCTCTTCAAAGACTTCGCGGATGATCGCATCATTAACAGTGCCATCTGTAGCATCAAACTTGCCTCCTGGGAGTTCGAAGACATCCGGGTAGTACTTCTCAGCTGGATTTCGCTTGAGAAGAAGTACAGTAGGCCCAGAGTCTCCCTGCTGAAGAATAGCAGCGCCAACAGTCACTTTATGAACCTCGGCAATGCGAAGTTGAACCTCCTCTCGGGACATTGAAAGAAATTCCATGACAAGATGGTGTTTTCTCGTTGGGATCGGTTGAGGTTTGTGAGCTCGTATCCAAGGTGGCAGAGTTGTTTGGAGAAAAGGCGAAAGGGGAGATAGATGAAGAAGAGGGCGTTTGCAAGGGCTAAACTACTTCCAATTTCTACCCTTGGAGACGCGGGGAAAAGCTTGCTACTGAACCAAAATTGCATTATGAGAATTTGTTCCCATTCTTTTCTATGAATTTGTGTATCACCACTCAAGGTAGGCGAGGTGTTTGTACTGAATGGACAGGACCTACCTTACTCTTCCTGCACGATCCATCTCCAGGGTCCGTGCGCGAGAGAGATACCTTGCGCGACAGCCAAATTACTGGGCGCGTACTATGATTGGCGGTCAAGCCACCAAGGACCCTACTTCTTCGTATTGCATCATCTCGATAGCATCGAAATTGAGCAAAATCTTAGACCCTCCACAGCCTTGACTAGTCACGCCGATTTAAGAACAATCAGCAAGCTGTCGTTTCCTCTACAGTCCGTTGCGTTGACAGCGTCCGCCCCCGACTTTGACCCGGAAGGAAAATTTTCCGCTAGCCTAAAACCCCCCTAAACCCCCCTAGACTTCACACCTTAATAACTCTATGCGTACGTAATGCGCGTAAATAAAAAGTAGATCATTATAACCGCCTAATTTAAGGCTATCGATTGATATATTTTTTATTCTCACGCATTATATACGCATAGAGTTATTAAGGTATGAAGTTTAGGGTGATTTAGGGGGTTTTCAAGTTAGCGGACACTAAACGCAACGCTGAAAAAAAAAACCGAAACCCCTTGTACGTAGCGTCCACAGTGTCCACCCCAAATGATTCTTGAACAAGCAGTCGAAAGGCAATGGCATCAAGTACAAATCAAGTGGGCATCAAGAGGTCGTTGGACATTACCGAACCGCCTATGTACCCGACACGTTCATTAAGTCAGATTGAGGCGTTATTCGCATCTTGATTGACAAGTATCTGATCTTTAACAGTTCCGATATGAACGCGATTCTTCGAGGTTAAGTCTAATACGGTCTTTCTCCGCAGGTGTTGTTTGAGTTAGCTTCAGAGCCTCGATACACCTGTAATAACCGCTTGAACAGAGCTGCAGTGTGTTGTAGGTGCTTATTGTCAAAAGCGCACAATGGCCATGGGTTAATGTAATGGTTAGCGGGTCACGGGCCTCGGCCTAGTGCGGGGGGCGGCGGTAAGAAGACCTTGCACACTTCGCCGTCTCTCTAGAGCCATCCGACATAACTCATGGAGTTGATTGGGATTAAGATGCAGTGCTGTTGTGCTTACACTGACTGTTAGCACGCTACCCACAATGGACGGAACCACAGATTTGGAAGGTTAGGTAGAAAACTGGGCGTTATGATTTCATCCAAAGACCACCGCAGAATAATTGACGGATGTGTTCATCCTGTGATTATGACTTCCTAACAGACCGGTTATTTTACAGAGTTCGGCCTAGCGTCATACACTCCTTGTCGGTGGAATCAAATCAGTTTCTAATCTGAATGATTGCAAACATCTCACACATGCGATTCACGCTTACGAGTCCTGCGAATAGAGAGGCAAATAAGCTACTTAGAATGAACCTACGGAGCTCGGTGCACAAATCGCGCCGCCCGACGCCGCCATCGCATCGACCCACGCGCTTGTTTCGACGGTAGCTCAAATAGGCAATTAGTCACCGAGTTTACTCAGTTGAAATTCTACGCTGTGCAATCCATAGCATGAGTTTCGGGATAGTACATGCCCACCAATGCTTCTTTCAGCAATACATTGTCACTCAAACGGAGGATGGGGGGTTACTCAGACAGTATAGTAATTCTTGATATGGACGTATTGAGCTTTGCCCTTGACTCCAAACCCTCATACTGGTAGAAGACTGTTATCAACCGTCCCCGTTCATTGAAGAAAGACTATTTCATATTGGCAGTGAGATCTATGCGTTTTCCGTCACTTCATGGGGTACCTGATAAGATTCTACTCTAGAAACTCATGCACCCTGCCATGCAAGGTTTGAGGTTGCGTACTTCTTGGAGGAGCTCGCGTTTATAGACGCGCGAGCTTACTCAGCGGCACGCCTTTGATGACAAAACGCGAGGGACACCGTCTTCCTACTAAACGCAAGGCTAGTACACGCACCAAGGGTTTGAGAAAACTACCAGGGGTTACGGGATCACTACTAGACCGAAAACCGGTTCATCCTCTAGGTTCACTGATCATGCTGCAAACATGATTGGGTTATTACAGATCGTTACGCTATCTACCCACTCCGAAAAGACGGGAACCAGCAGATCATTCGAGTCAGGAGTTGTAGAGTCTATCTCGCGAGATCTCGCGAGAGAGAGTGGGAACAAGTTCACCCCTTCTTGCCTCGTTGTTCGGCTCAATACAGAATTCATGAATCTCCGAAAGTCCGGACTTTGAAAACAGCTAGCGAGGCATGAAGCTGGTGCGCTCTTAAAGATGGCCTTCGCAGCACGGAGAGGACCTGCTGCTCTCTTTCAAAATCACCACATCTCGCGATCATTCATCTTTAGAGAGTGCTCATCGCAGACCATTTCCAGCCCAAATCTTCATCGATCATTCTTTATATTTCAAGTTTGCTGAAGCGAGCTGAAGTCCAACGCTATGGAACGCCTTCCTGACTCTGGTCTTTCGGTTTTGGTTGTGGGCGCTGGAATCGCCGGTTTGGCCTTTTCCATTGAAGCTCACCGTCAGGGCCATACTGTCAAGGTCTTAGAGAAACGTGCCAATCCGGGAGATTACGGTGAGTGAAGGGTGTTTGGTAACAAAGCAACATGGCTTGGTTTAGTTGGTTAACTTCTTCGTCGTCAGGCGAGATCTTCTTCATTCAGTCGCCCGGACTGCATACCCCGTCTAGATGGCCTGGGTTCATGGACAGACTGCACAAGGTTGCCATCTCGGCCGAGTTTCAGTTCTTTAAGTTTAGCGGCCAGAAGCTATTCGGAACCCAGCTTGGCTCCCGGGACGTTCCCACGGTATCGGTTAGCCGCAGGGAGTTTTACGAGCTACTCCTCAACTATGCAACCGAAATTGGCATTCCAATTGATAGGGGTCAAGAGGTTGACGAGTTCTTTGAAACAGAGGACCTGGGTGGCGTCATCCTCTCTGACGGACGCAAGCTCACCGCAGACATTGTCGTGGCGGCAGATGGTGTAGGCTCCAAGTCATGGAGTCTTGTGACTGGCACGAAGGAGAAGCCAATCAGTTCTGGCTATGCTCTGTACAGGACCAGTTATCCCGCAGAAAAGGCACTGGAAAGCCCTGCTCTTGCAGAATTCTTCAAAGACAAGAGAGACTGGACCTCTCTGCACATTGGTCCCGGGGCTCACTTTTTCATCGGGTTGTCGCCCACTGAATTCAGTTGGGGCTTGACGCATCGTGACGAAGATTCTGCTGTCGAGGATTGGAACCGTGTCGTGGATTCCAGAGGAGCGCTTCGATATGTCTAGGACTGGGCACCTATCGTCCACGAGGTCATCAAATCCACTCCCAACAATGAGGCCACTGACTGGAAGTTGCGCTTTCGGGACCCCCAGCCAAAGTGGGTCTCTGACGAGGGCCGAGTGGTGCAATGCGGTGATTCAGCACACTCTTTCCTGCCCTCATCCGGCTTTGGTGCCACAACCGCCCTTGAGGATGCCTTCTCTCTTGCAGCCTGCCTAAAGATGGGCGGCAAGGAGTCAGCTAACATCGCCACCAAGGTTCACAACCACCTCCGGTGAGTGAATCCCACATTATCCTACTGACAGTCTCTCCATCTGAGCCATTCTTCCTGACGATGAGTCTAGCTTTGAGAGAACAGCCTGTGCTCAGAAGATAGGCTTCAAATCGAGGGAGGCTTTCCATCGCGCCGACTGGAATGAGGCTGTCAAGAATCCCCGAAGCATTGCCAAATTCACGGGGGCATGGTTGTTGAAGCATGATCCCGAGGTCTATGCTTACGAAAACTACGAGGCTTGCGCAGCCCATCTGCTTCATGGAAAGGACTTCAAGAACTCGAACACGGTTCCCGGCTTTCCGTTCAAGCTTTGGACAGTTCAGGAGCTGTTGGAAAAAGCTGACAACGGGGAGTCAATTGATGATGATGAGGGTGACTGGTACTCCTTCATGTAGCACAGTTGGAACTGGGCTCGACCAAGCCGAGAGAGTAACTAGGGGATATTTCAAACAACGACGAATCAGAATCTACGCGCCAAAGCGTCACCGATCACACAACGTCCTACACGGATATGTCCTGACAATGCAACACTTCGCGCTTTGACACTGTTTATGTCTGTTTTTCATCTGTCCATGTACCTAGGTTGTTGTAACACCCCTACATGACACCGATCTAGGTGCTGGTCCCCGCTGCGGCACAGGGCCAGGCACCAGCCATACAAACCACCAGCGCCCAGAGCAGCATAGTTTAAAAAGCCCAGTCAAACCCACCAGCCCTGTCGTAAGGCATATTCCGATTTCTATTTCAGCAGCAGAGGCTCAAGAAACCATTTCGACCTGCCACTATGTACTCGACTCCCGAGGAGATTAATGCCGCCGTCGCGGCCTATAGATCCCACATCTCGAACCATAATCCTCGTGTTATCGAAGTTTACGGTGCGTTTGTTCGCAAAACATGCCCTGGAGTGAAACCTTTCTAACTGTGGCTACTAGTATCTCTGGTCGCCGACGCACATCTCAAAAAAGGGGATGACGAGGAGTATGATGAGGGTAACGAAGACATCAACGACCTGCGAATACAAAGCCTTTGGCCCATGTTTGACACACGGCTTGGGACTTTCGTCTCTACACCAGCTCAAATCCTCACCCGCTGGGACGAACTATGCTCCATCTACGATATGGACGGTACAGGCGGTGGTGTGCCTTCCGAAAAGGAGAAAGCTCATCTCGAGGACTACTTCCTAGTAATGGAAAAGGGCTTGAAGAGGTCGTGTCGGGAGCAGGTACGAGAGACAATTAACTTTCCAGAAGAGTTCCGCCTCCTGGCAAAACAAATCGGCGCCCTTACAGGGCCCGGCATGACGGAGCATAAGTCGCAGTACCAAGCTTCGTTTTGGACCTGGCCGTATATCCAGGTCACTACCGAGACTGAGAAGTATCTTCTTGACACAATAAAGAGTCCAGAGTGGCTGGAGGAGCACGTTGCCAGTTGTTGGGACTTTGCCGCGGGATGGGAATCGGGCGCTGGCTATGACTGTTGGTCCTACGTTGTCTACTGTCGGAGGGCTGCCGAGAATGACGAAGCCAGCGCTTCCACCGAGCCATGGGCCTGGAGGTACATGCTGAATGATCTCTACGGCCAAGAAGTTTTCGACACCATTCCAGATTTGTTGGCGTGGTACTGCCGTTATCGTGAGAGGTCATTGCCTGATGCGTCTAGCATGACGGGATATGAGATTCTGACTGGCAAAGTCCTCAGTTAAACTTGACCAAAAAAACATGAATCCTGTTCCTCAATTTTTGCTCCAGTTTTTAACCGTCTCGAAGCTGCTAGACAAGGCTGATAATAGGAAATTAATTAATAATGACGCGGCTGATTGATACTCTTGTATACAAAGTAGCAGTGATCAGGGACAGCTATCTTGCTGTTCAACATGAAAAGATTTCATGTTTTATAGTACAATACCTATGTTGTCCATAAGTACTAGATGATCTGCATTGACTGACTTTGCATCCATCTTCTAGTAAGCCACGGAAACAGCCACAACCTAAGCGCGCTAACTGAAGGTGTTAAATATCCAAGTCTCGTAATGACTTTATGTGCACATTGTGATAATTGAGTTGTAGGGTATTGGATCCGTCAATTATTTTCTATCATCATGTGGTTTCCTGATCATTACTTTTTCAATGAGAGCTCTGCGTCGATGTGAAAAACTTCTGGAACTCAGAATCCCTCATCAATAGGCTTCTCGGGGTATCCCATTCCAAAATCTCTCCCCTATTTAGAAGTAAGACTTTGTCATAGTTCTCAACAAATCGCAAGCGATGGATGACAGAGATGACTGTCTGCTCAGAGAACTCTCGATCAATGATACTTTGCATCATGGATTCGGTTTCCTGATCGACACTGGAAAATTGCGCATTAGTTTCTTGCATGCAAATGAGATGAGAAATGTAACACCCTACCTGCTTGTAGCTTCGTCAAGAACCAGTATCTGGCTGTTGGAAATGATAGCCCTAGCAAGCGCAAGAAGCTGTCTCTCGCCCACCGAGAAGCCATCCGCCTCCAATTCAGCGTCAAGACCGCCTGCCATGCCGATTCTACTTAGAAGCCCAACCTTATCGAGAGCAGTCTTGATTCCCTCGCTGCTTGCTCGTGAGTGAGGATCGAGATTGAAACGCACAGTTCCAGGCATGAAGAATGGCTCTTGTGGGATGACATTGACGTGCGAACGGACTGCAGACCTCTCCAGAGTGGAGAGATCAATGCCGTCTATGAAGATCCTACCATCCGTTACCTCGATCATTTGCAGCAACGAGAGAACAAGTGACGTTTTCCCGCTGCCTGATGACCCACATACGGCAATCCGCTGACCAGGGGAAATGTCAAGGGAGAGGCTCTTCAATGTCGCCGCGGCATTTGCACTACAGATTGTGTCAGTCATCAGCTGCACAGTCTTTTTAATCGAAGAGCGACTCACGTATATCCAGCAGTGACGTTCTCGAACTTAATAGCACCCTTCAGTGGCCATCCTGCTGGAGGTGCACCATTGCTGCCAAGCTCTCGTTCTTCAGATGGTGTCTCGTTTGCGAATTCTCTGATTCTCGACACCGCCCCGATAGAAGTTTCCAATGCTGTCCAGTTCTTGATAGTCACTGCAAGATCGGAGTTAAAACCCAGCACTAAAACCATTGCCACACCGACAGCTCCAGGGGTAAACTTGTCCGTTAGTGAAGTGGCCATCGCAACAACGATGAGGGCGAGGGCGCCGACAACCAAGTCCAGAACCAGCGCCAGCCACTGTTGGATGCAAGCAAGCATGTAGTGCGGCTTCTGTGAGCGGTTCAAAAGAGACGAGGCCTGAGCCTCGAAGTTGCTCTCCCATCCATATGCGCGTATGGTCGCTACACCTTTAAGAGTCTCGAGGAAGTGTGTGTACATGGGTGCCTTGGCTTCAATGTCGAGAAGTCGAACTTGGCGCGAGGTGCGGAGATAATAGCGCTGGACGAAAAAGAGGACTGCCACGAGAAGGGGGATGGAAGATGCGAGGTATTTTCCGAGGACGCAGAGAATTATGAGTTTTATGACGCATGCGCATGAGTCTAGTAAATGTCAGTATATCACCTGATGTTGTGCTGCGTTAAAATTGCTTTACTGGTGAAGAAATTGATAGCATTTGATGGCAAAGTCATGTCCACTAAGTTAAGGTCCTGGCTGAATCTATAAGGGCTGTTAGTAACATAGACTATGGAAGTAGAGACGTTCCACATACCTGTTGGTGATGGAACCAGTATCTGTTGACTGGAAAAAGCTAAGTGGTGCCCTGCAGGCTTGTCAGTGTGAGATTGCATGCGAGCTCTCCCTATCATGTATACTTTAGACTTGTCTGAAGGAGATCTGCATGTAGACCTGTCGCGGTGTTGTTGATGATGCGGATAAACATCACCCTATCAAGCTTAGTTGTGATTCTATGGTTGGGATGATTCTTGATCAAATGGCTTACCAGCATTCCAAAATAAGCGCGAACATGTTGGTCAGAAACAACAAAGCATAGACCCCTAGGTACATGCCAAGGTCTTGGTTCGGCTCCTCTCCGTTGGCTTCAACCCACCATTGGAACCAGATTGCTGGAACACAGATTCAGTGAGCAAGCCTGTTATACTTTCAAACCGCGTTGGAGCGGACGTACTTGTAAATCCGGCGCAAAAAGACTCGGTGATTGTAGAAGCCAGAAAAAGGCCAAAAGCGACCCATCCTCCTTGCTCAAAGTAGTACTTGTAGACTAGCCACGACCCATTTTGCCGCAGCCGATCGGCTTCATTGTTGTCAGAGACAACGACGTTGCCTTCTTTTTCCACGTTTGGAGATGGCACGGTGTCTTGTTCGGAAATGGAGTCTGCCGAGTCATCTGCTGGCACTGAGGTCGCGACTACGTCTGCTGATGTGGCGAGAACCTTTTCGTATGGGCCTTGGCTGAGGATTCCGCCATTCTCAAGGACAATGACTTCATCAGCAAATCGTAGAAGGTGGCCTGGTCGTCAAGATTCAGCGAGCGCTCAACATGTTGCGGATGAGCTGCGACTGCTTACGTGTGTGAGTTGCGAGAATGACAGAGATACCGTTCTGCCGGAAGTGTCCATCTTGACCAAATAGACGAGTCGATATCCGACCAACGGTCCTAGAGTCAAGGCCGCTGAACGTGTCGTCTAGAATCACCACTAGATGTCTAGAGTAGATAGCCCGAGCTAAGGTCTGCCATGGGGATTAGCAAGATTCTCTCAAATGAAAAACGTACAAACCTACCACTCGCTGCTTTTGCCCTCCGCTCAACCCAACGCCATTACTTCCAATATTGTATGCGTCTTCCTCCGGCATGTTCCTAACATCGTCCGCGAGAGAACACAGCCACAGCACACGCTCAAACCATTTAGCGTCAAATTCCAACCCGCCAGTGATGTTGTGCCTGATTGTGTTATTCAATATCCACGGGTTCTGCGAGCAGTACGCAATGCTCAGTACAGGAGCTGTACGGGAGCCGCTACGAAGAGTCGTCTCGCTCAAGATACTTTCAAGTAGGCAAGATTTTCCGCAGCCTACCGGCCCAACAACCATGGTGATGCCTCTTTTGATACGCAAGCTTAGATGACTCAAAACAACGTCGGTCTCAGAGGACCATGAAATAGTTGCATCCTGGAAAGAGGTGATGATATCCTCTGGGCCTTGGACAGTAGTCTGCGTGGTAAGTTCAACGTCGCTGTTACCAGGCGCGCCAGCTTCAGAGTAGGATGGCCCCTTTTCCGGCGCCCAGGAGGTTTTGAGACAGAAGACCTCGATTCTCGTGAAGCAAGCGATCCCCTGCACGATGTTGGGAACATACTGACAAAATCTCAGCAATGGGTCAGTCAGGAGGTTGATGAGAGACAGTGCGGTAAAAGCATTGGTGGAAGTCAGAGTCTGGTCTTTGGTGATCAAGGCGATGATGCTGTATATGACGAACGTAGCGAATGGTGCGAATTCGTTGGGCAGGTTCGCTTAAAGCGGGAGTCAGCAAGCATTCAGGAAAGCCTTTAAATGTATGTCTTACAAACGAGGACTTGCCATAGCAAAAGTTTTCGAAACTTCTCGGAACCGCTGAGCTCGATGCGTCGTAATTGGAGAATGACGCTAGACAAGACTTCGGGTAAACCAAGCATCTTGATGGCCTTCATGTCGCCAAGCACCGTGGCCGTGACCGCAACTCTCTTCTGCAGCCGCTCAATCCAGACGGTCTGGGCCCTCCCGATAGTCTTCGAAATAGGGACCACTCCCACAACGCAAACTAATAAGAAGGCTCGTTAGAAGTCAGAAGCAGCCGTTGCCTGATAGCGAGGCTTACATATTGAGATCACGACCGGTACGATGGAAGCAATCTGGATCTGTTGTTGCAGCAAGAACACCGCTATCCCGACCTCAACAACCGAGGCCCAGATTTCGTGAAACATGGCAAAAGTAGTCACAACCCTCTCAACGTCGGTGCCCATCAGTGTGACCGCGGCGCTATCCTTCAACTCGTCTGCTTTAAGCGACACAGTCTTGCGGAAGACGATGTCGATCAAGCCTGCGCGGATCATCGTGGTGAAGCGGTACTGCTGCCGAGAATAAGCTGCGCGCGATACGGCAAGCCCGATGTAGGTGAGTACATACGCGCCGACGAGCGCTCGGCCGTACTTTTCGGACTGTGGGGTTTTGGGGGTTTGCATGAAAGTCACTGTAGCTGTGATTAGGAAGGGCTGACAGAAGGTGAACGCCGTGAGGAATAGTCGGGTGACGACCCCGAGGAAGATGGTCCCGCGGTAAGCACGGCAGCTCGCGCGTAGCAAGGCGTGATGTTTCTGGCCTTTGCGAGCTGCCCAAGACAGCTCCAATGCCCGACCTGCCGTCTCACCGGTGAGATCTGCGTCGACTTCGGGCATGTCATGGATGTGGATCACTCGAGAGTAACCTAGACGGAAAAACGGCAGGAGCCAGGTGAAGAAGCTGCGACCCCAGAAGCCGGTCTCTTCCTCTTTAGTGAGCGATTGGTACGTTGTCTGTAGGAACTTCTTCTTGCCAATTGATTCCAGAGGTACCACGAGCGCCGTGAGAACGAAGATGGCCGTCCATAGTGCCTTCGCCGTGCTGGCCGAAGGTATGAGCCAGAGCGTCCGAAGGCGAGGGAGAGCGAGAATCGTTGAGGCCGAGAAGTAGAGAATCAAGAGATCGGATGGGCGTGTTGAGCGCTGGTCTTCGAGGATCGAGTGCAGTGATGCCGCGAGGACGGCAACGAAGGTCAAGATGCCCGAGGCGAGGGAGAGCGTTGTGTTGATCGATGGTGTCTTGGTCTGGACGATGAGGAAGGCTAGGTGAAATGCACCGAGCGCAGCCAAGAGCCCCTGCCGCTGTGTAAGTGAGTTTTCGTTGATGTTTGAGGGGTCTCATACCAATTTCAACAAGGCGATTTTGTAAGTTGTCAATTTTACTGGAGTTCGCACGATCGAGAAAAGTCGAATAGGTATCAGTAGCAGGAATATCGCTGCAGGAAGAACGTGGAAGATTTCATCTTCAAAAAGGAGTGTGAAATCGAAAGGGCGACATTCAAAGTCAATGCGTGGACCGAATTGGTTGTCACTGCCCAACGGACAAGTGGTACGATTAGCCATAACTCTGCAACGGCAAGTATCACGGCTTTTTCATGAGTTGATTTCCATTCGGAGAAAGACTATGCAAACATTAGACTCATATACATATCACCCAACTCAAAAGGACTTTTGCACCGGCTCGCGTGGTACGCGCGCTCACGGAGGCAGTCGTCAGTGGTAAATGCACTTGGCCGTGTATGGCACGTCAACATGATTGGAGATGGCGAGATGATTGGGGGATCCCTGAGGTGATCATCCCAAAACGCCTTAGTAGAGTAAGCGGCGCATTTGTTTGCTTGAAAAGGCAAAAACATGGTATGCTATCCACCTGTACGTTGATAATCTCAAAGTCTTACATTCTCTCCATCGATTGACTCAAAAAGAAGAACGGAATGATGAGATAGAATAGTATGCCTAAAGAGTTTCACCGGAACAAGGAATCGGACCAGGGCGATGTCGTGATTGCGGGCCCCATCATTTTCTTCACCTCCGCCCCGGATTTGAACTCGGCTCAAAGTCCGGGGCAGCCCCGCACCGTCGCATCTCACCAACACACCCAGTCTCACTCTCACTCGTCGAAGCGCTCACAGGTCTCCTCCGATTCAGCCAGCTTACGACGCACCATGCGTGTTCCAGACCTCATCAGCACCTCCCAACCCGACGCCAACGCACCATCGCGACGTATACGGCGACGTCATGACAACACCAGCTCTTCACCGTCCTTATCGGCCTCCGCATCGCCGTTGCCAGAAGATGCACCACGACCACCAGCGAACAAGAGGCGCAAGACGACGACAGAATCCGCGGGAGGAACTGCATACGCGCGGAGAAAGCGCGCCGTGACCGCGTGCGAGTTCTGCCGTCTGCGCAAAACGAAGTGCGATAATGCCCGGCCGGTATGTGGCTTCTGCCGCCGGCAACGCGCAACTTGTGTCTACGGTGACGAGGAAGAAGGTGGCGGGGGTAATGTTGCGAGAAACCACGAGGAAGATGGCAGTGCCGTGATATTGGAGCGGCTGGATGAGATTAAACAAATGCTCCAGAGCTCACCGAGGGGCTTGGCGCCGACGGCCGCGTATGCCGCGTATCAGCCGGAGCCCTCTACCGACGCCGCCGTGCCATCGCCGAGACACCAAGGTTTTGACGTAGAAGGGGTCTCGGACCGCGGAGAGACATCGCGGACGCTGTACTCTGCGCTGCGGTGCGAGTCGATGCTCCGCTGGCCTGTTTTTGATGGGCTTATACCGGAGGAAGATGCGAGGATCGAGTCTTTTATACTCGAGTTTGGTGCGGATCTGGATGATGCGGCAGCTGTCGAGGAGAGGATAGGACCGTCGTCGACTTCTTCTGGAGCAGCTACAGGACCTGGGATAAGGGATGATGCATTCGTGCCGCTGTGCCAGAAGTTCCTGATGCATGCCCACCCGCGGAATCCCATCCTTGAAGGCAGGGAACTAGTAACCTACTCAAAGCGGGCGGCCGAAAACGGTGTGGGATGGGATTCAGCCTCATGCTTAGTGGTGCGAACTCCCTTTCGCCTTGATATAATGTCATGCTGACTGCTGCACAGTTACTCGCCTGCGCCTTGGCTTGCCTTACGACACCATGGCTCCCTCCCGTCGAAGATACCCCTTTTACGATGACAGTCGCCTCGAAAGATGTGGCAGAGATGCCCCTCCCTGCGATCATAGAGCCGGAGGACTGCGGCGTGGCAGATGCATACTACCTCGCCGCATCAAAACGCATCGGTCTACTAGGCCCGTCCATCCTCGACATCCAATGCCTGTTCCTAGCTTCCATGTACGAAAAGTGTCGTTTACGCCCTCTGAGAGTTTGTTTCTACATCCAGCAAGCGTCGACGCGTCTCCAAGCGCATCTCCTCCGGAGAGGCAGACGGCCGTGGAGGGCAGCTAGTGGCAGGGAAGAGCCGACGTAGCCCCTCGAGCAGCGTGTCTTTTGGTCCTGCTTCAAAGCCGAAAAGTACCGCCCTCATTCCCGAAAGCCCATAACCCACCGTCGAATAAAATCATACTGACATCGTCCAGCGAAATCCTGCCCACTCTAGGCCTGAGATCAAGCGGCCTCGAGGACTTCACCTACCCAGACTCCTTCCCCGCCCCGCCGTCGACCCTCTCCTCGGCCAGGCCCGCCGCCGGTGACTACTACGCGTGGTCGCCCATGTCCGACGACCAGCAGCGCGTCGAGGAGGAGCGCAGCTGGCTGTACTATCTCGCCGAGATCTCGCTTCGGCGCACCATCAAAGACACCATGGCGGTGCTGTACCGCAAGGGCGAGACGTACTGGCTGCAGAACGAGCAGCTCCTAGTTCGACAGTATGACGAGTTCGAGAAGGAAATTTCCCAGCTGTAAGTTCGCTTCGTCCCATGTCTTTCAATGAGATCAAATGAGGTTGAGCAGGAGCTGGCACGGTAGCACAAATACAGGCATTCTCACCTGCCGCCCCTGATTCAGTTCGACGAGCACCGCCACGCCGACAACGAGCTCGCGTTCTACCTGCAGGGCAGGTTCCAGGGGTGGCGCGAGGCGACGCTACGGCCGCTGCTATACTGCGCGCTCCACGCTCCCGGGGAGGTGAATCCAAGGGTTGTCGAGCTGGCGCAGAAGGCCGTGGATACGTGCTCTGCCATGGTCGTCAAGACCGCATATCACCATCGCCACGGGGGCAGTTGGTTCGTGGCGAGGAGGGCGTTCTCCTGCGCACTGATGATTCTTGCCGCGAGGCTGCGGGACGGGCCCGTGAGGGCGCCGCCGAATTGGAGAGCTTTGATCAGGTTGGCGCTGAGGGTGGTTCGGCGATGGGGTCGCGAGGCGCGGGACGTGGAGAGAATGAGGTCTACGTTGGAGAGGCTGTTCAATCACGTACAGGCGAGAGCCGGACCAGAGGTTGGTACTCTGGGTTAGTTGGGAGGAGTCAACATTGGCCGTCATCATCATCTCTCGATCTCACGTATTTGATCATGTTTGACGGCCAAGAGCGCCACCATGCAATCGCCACTTTAAACCCCCGAGCACCGGCAGATGGGCTTGCATTAGAGTTGGTCGAAGCCGCCGCTTCAGCAAGTCGTGTGTGCCTGGCTCGCGGGTTTGAGCACCATGTCCTTATTTCACGATGCCGCGTGTCATCGCGCCAGTTTGTGCGTTGCTCATCAGCGGAGTATGAATCGAGAGGGTCACTTGACTGCTCTTACGCAATCATACCGAGACCCCAGCAAGAGACTATTGATTCCATTTCCCGGGACTTGAAATCGTCTCGACGAGCTTTCGCATCCCAAGAACTAACGCCAACCCCGCAATCAGGAAGACCACCGGCAATTCAGTAGTTTCTCAACTAGGAGAGAAAACTCTGACAGACCTGAACCCAGTTCTTGGTGTCGATGACCGGCGCACGCTTGTGCGAGCTTCAACAACTTGGTGTGACCCCCCAATTGTTCCATCGAGGCAAGGTGCGGTCCAGAACGGTGGCACACCAACCGCTCAGCGATGTCGAATGTCCAATACGGGCAGTCTGTGCAACGCAAAAATACCAGTTGAATGGCTATAGCTTCGCCGCCAGCCGAACTCCAGAGACCCTGACGCCGCCCCCAGAGCACGGGCATTGGCGGGGAGGAGAATCTGGCCGGATGGTCAGCAGAATCGGGATGGCTGACAACCTTCTCCGACAGTGCGCGCCTTCTAGCTGGGTGGCTGGCCGGTGACAGTGAGAAGTCTATTGCTTGGGGTTGGATCGGACTGGATCTCTCGATAGCTTGTTCGACGCCCGAGTAAGCGGCTTGCGCTTGGCGGCGTGCGACGACGCGCCGGCGCGAGAGGGTGGCGGCCAGACCCCAGATCGGCAGTGTCTCATTGATCGGGCCACTCATTACCGCAAACTGAGCCTCAACCCCGCAAGCAGAGACCGTTCTGGGCTGCATCGGACAGTCAACGGCGGGGGAGCGGCGAGTTGACGATTTGAGTTGTGCCATCCGGGAGCATTGCAAGATCTCCGTAAAGCGCTTTACCTAGTGTCCAGACACTTCTGAACAACTACCAACGGTTCGATGGTCTGCAGACCTGAACGAATGTCGATGACGATGGTTACAACATCCGAGGCTCGGCGGCGAGTCCGAACAGGGGCTAGCAGGGACCTTGCACTTTGCAAAAACCCCGGCAATTGCAGCGCAGCGCTAGAATCCGATGGTTTGGCTCGACTCACCTGTCGCATCGTCAGCTTCAGCACGCCGAGATCATGGGCATTTGGAATGGGAGAAGAGAAAACGATCGTGTGTGCGCGGTGTCATTGGGAATCAGGCCTACGCGCGACAAACACGAGCCGCCGCCACGATGCGGGCCCTGCGACTCACGTGTCCATGGACTCGGGATGGCCTAGGGGGGGTTGGATGGGATGGGGGATGGGATGGGATGGGACGGTCTGGTCCGGGGTGCGCATTGCAGACTTCGTGTTTGGTGTTTGAGCGGTGGTCCCGTGGTGGAGGGAAACAGCGGACGAACTCAAGGTCTGGGCCGAGACAGCACGTGATTGCCATCGTGCGCGAGCGAGGCCCACTATTGGATTCTTCACGATGAGTCTTCCAGGCTTCTCTTCCGGTCTTGGGTCTGTGTTTTTCCCTGGTTTTCCCGCCGGGGGCCGCGTGATTCAGGGGGTGATCTAATGACATAGACTCCACTGTGGAGAGAGTGAATCAATCTTGACTCTCTTCTTGGTCTTGCTCTCTTTTCAGCCTTTTTTGGTATTGGTCTGCCAGAGAGAGTAAGAAAAATCCTTCCGAGCGGAGACCGACCACGCGTCCGTAGCCGTGATCCGTAGCCGTGATGGTCCGGAGACCCCGTGGAGTGATGAGAATTCTGCATCGTCCGCCGGTTTGTAAGCGCGGCGGCCCCTCGCTCGTACGAGGAGCCCTGCCGGTCAGGTGGAACGGTGAAAACGCGGTCGGCGTCGCGCCAGTGTGTTGCCCATGGGGAAAAGAACAAAGGAAGAAAGAGGAGACTCTAACGAGGCCAGACCAGTCCCAAACTCGGCCGAAAGCCGAGGTGATTTTGGGTCTTTGAAAGCAAGGCAGCAGGCTCCAGAAGAGCCAAAAGAGGGCGCCTGTTACTGATTTCCCGGGGGTGGTCGCTAGCGATGGGGCCGTCATCAAAGACGGGCCGATGTCACGGCCTTGACAGGTAAACCTAAGCACCTGCGGCGGAGAGCCGACCAGGGGATGGGTCGGAACGCACCCACAGCCCGACAGCCGGGGGAGGGAGGTCTGGGCAGTTGGTTGCGCAGACTGGAGACGGGCGCAGGAGGCACGACGAAGGCAGCGGCTTGTTGTTGGTCACGCCGTGGTCACGAACTCGGGGCCCCCTTAACAGCGGCGCATACCGAGTCAGGCGGTAAGATGGTACGAGGTGACTGGCTCGCTTTCTTGTTGGAGCGGGCGTGGCCCGACGGACAGAGTGAAGCAAGAGTCACCGAGAAGGGAGCAGAGGCTTCTGACGAACGCCGATACTCGCTGCCCGCTCTCCCTGTTTGACGATGGCGCGTCGTCGCCGTCGTCGCAGTTCGCAAACCCCGACATCAGACCAGTAACCACGGATCTGGAAACGAACATGTAGGTGATTGGATAGCGCGGGGTGGAAAAGCTGGAGATGGGTGCTAGGCAGGCCTCCTGGGAGATGCTTTTCTTGGAGACCCCGATATCTCCAGACTGTCGAGAGACGGAGACGGTCTGGAGGTGCATGTGAGTGTGAGGAGGAGCTCCACAGCGGACAGGAACTCGGCCAATTTAGCAAGAGGACGCTGCATCGAGAGGGATCTGGAGGCAGTTAGCGTTCCCAAGTACCACCGAGCATTGGCCCATAGATGGAGCCGGGACCGGGGATTGGAGGAGGGATGATGGGGAATTTGGGGGAATGAGTTTGGGGAAAAGAGGGTGGGATGGATGGTTAGGTGCGGATAGGTAGACCTGCGAAATGGGATGGATGGATGGGATGGGATGGAACGGTTGCGTGTTGGGAGGCATGCAAGGCCGGAACAGTTGCACTAGGCAGTAGTGGTGAGGCACAACGACGACGACGACTTGGAAGCCAAGGCGAGTTTAGGGCGCTGCTCGAATGAATGGCCCGAATAGCTTCGACTTGGGAACCTAACCGAGACGACAGTTTGGTTGTTTGAGTTGTCTCTGGACAGTCGAGCTAGACGGAACCGAGTAACGCTGCGCATGTCCGGAGGAAGAGACGCTGCAGCATGCGGGAGAGCACCGGTGGCCTGTCTCGGCGGCCGGCTTGTCGTATGTACATGTTCGTAGTGGTTGGGATCATTAGTCCCGCCGGGGCAAGGATCAGAACGAGGATCGGGTTGCATGCTCGCATGTACAGTACTGACCTGAATCTGTCCATCGAAACACCACACAAACGAGCGAGGGGCAGGCCGCAGAAGGGAGGCTGAAGGGCTGATCGAAAAGGAAGCAAAGACATGTGCCAAAATCGTGGAGGCTGTTGTTGGATGACGGGAGTGGAAGGGTTTGGCCAGGGAGGCGGCAAGCACAGGCCCAGCCGCATTCTTTGGCAGATGTCTGTGTGTCTCTTCGTCCAGCTGGTGTTCACCACCCAATTCCTAGGGCACGTAGAATGCCTCCGCGAGTACGGACAGGCATCTGATTTGATGGTTTGGCGACACTATCACGGGATGAGACGGCGGCAGAGTCAGCACGCAGCCCGCAGAACCGGCAGCCGGAGGGTTGACGTGGAAGACAGAGAGCAAGCCAAAGCGAGACAAACTGACAGGGACGGGTGGTGTTTTGGATTGGGCTAAGAGAAGGGAGAGGCGCGAAGCCAATCAGCGCCACGATGGCGGCCGGGGAAGGACGACAGGACGGCGCCGCAGGTTGGGCGGGGGCCGGTTGGGGCACTTCTCGGCGCTTCTCTGGCGCTTTCCCCAAGTGAAGCTCCAGAATTCCCCTCTCCGTCTCCATCTCCGGGGCACTTTTTTAATGTTGTCTTTTTTCGTTACAAGTCATCACGCTCTACTCTTATTTCCAGCTGGCTCGGAAGTCGGAACCCCTCGGGGACCCCACCATTGCGGGTGAAGACGCTTGGAGAGAGAAAATTAGACGGAGGGACGGACTGAGAAAAACCTGCCAAAATTTTCATCGTGAGATTAGGGGGAAGGGGAGCGAGGACGGATGAAGACAAGTCCGGTTCAACAACATCAGCAACATCCAACTTACTTCCAAACGGTGACGATGACACACCAGAGACAAGAGACAAGGGGCTCTCGTGAAATCTGGTGACAGATTGGCGCTTGTCCTGAAGCGGGATCATGTCGTTGACGTGACGAGAGTCAAGCCCGAGAGCTCCAGAGCTTGAGAGCGTTGTCTTTCCCTCCCGTTATTGCTACATGCCTTTCACCCCCTTGTATCCGTAAGGAAGTGTAAGGATACATACATCGTAAGGCAGATACATATGCAGCGTTTCTGCACGAGCTCGGAGCCAAGCTCGGCAGGTTCAGGCTTGGCACGACAGCTGGTCCCCTTTCCCCTTCCTCCTCCCCCGCCGCATTGGTGCGTTGGTGGTGATGGTGTCGAGGTGTTGATGGGATTGGGGGATTGGCCACCCCCAGGTTTGAGATTCGCTTGTTGCGCGCTTGCGGTGGACGGGCGTCATGATCATGTGTGTGAAGTTCCGCGTTTACGCCGTAGGGTTTTTACCAGGATCCCAGCACGTCTGCGACGAACGAGGTCGTTTTCGGCTGCCGAGACTCTTCACTGACGCATGCTCTGGGCAGACAGAGGCGGAGTGCAAGGGCAATTTGCGATTGAAGTCGCGACTGAATCCGCGGCTGGGACATCG